GCCTACCACGGCGATCATGTGATCAGTAGCTGAAAGCACAACTGTGAGCGAAAATGGCACTCGAATTACGATTTATTTCTGATTTCAAATTGGCGGTTACTGGAGCGAGATTCTGATGTGAGCAAAGAATGAATAGTGCTTTGCATCTAGTTCAAACAGAGGTAGCCAAATCACCTTCAGAACAAAATCAGTGTATTCGTAAGGTGACCATCTTAGATGGTTCAATATTTAACAAGTTCAAAACCCTCTAAAACTTGGTCAGGAGATTATTTGACATGCCACTCAAAAAAAATTATTAGGTCGTTTCAAAAGTAATTTCGCTTTTTTCAAACGGACGCCACATTTGATGGAACAAAGGTTTTTAGAAGATCTTGGTAGCATTCGATGCAGCATTTTATTCTCTTTCCAACGGTTATGAAAATGCTGCAAAACAGTCAATGAGCTTTTAGAAAGTAACCAAAATTTACGACCCATGCTTTTTGAGATGGTCAAGTTTCACGATTTTTTAAAACTTTCATATCAATCCTCAGAAGGAGTTCAAGTAACGATTCGATAGAGTAAACCTTATAGAATACAGTACTACTTTTTTCTCTTCCTCATAGCTCGCCGTAAACTTTTAAAAGATTTTTCAACAGAACCATCGGATTTTGGCAGGCCCACCTCAGCAACAATCGCATCAAACATCATAATTTTTCGGAATTTAAGACTGCCAAGATGGTACTGTGAGTTAGCATTAATTTTACAAAGCAAGTGAGTGTTTCCGGGTTCGAATTATCAAATTTCGAGTTTTTCGGGTACAGCCTAGGGCTCGCTAAAAAAAATGAGTTATGATGATTTTCTCCCCGGAAACTAAACGAATCGGAAACCAAAAACACCCCTTAGAAAGAGGAGAAAAAGCTGCATCGAATGACACCCGAGCTACTCACCGTTTGATGTTCTGCGAGGATTTAGCTGTCCAAGTATGGAAATTGGTAGCATCAGTTGAAATTCTGTTAAAAATGCATGACAAACTATGGAAAAAAGAAAAAAGTTACGCCATATCCTGGGAGGTGTGCTCTATCGAATCGTCGCTTAGACTTTTTATGAGAATTGATATGAAAGTTTTAAAAAATTGTGAAACTTGACTATCTCAAAAAGCATAGATCGCAGATTTTGGTTACATTCTGAAAGCTGATTGACCGTTTTGCAACATTTTCATAACCATTGAAAAGAGGATGAAATGCTGCATAGAATGCTACCAAGACCTCTCAGAAATCTTTGTTCCATCAAATGTGGCGCCCGTTTGAAAAAGCGAAATTACTTTTGAAACGACTTAATACATATTGTGCCTGGTGAAGTTTCCTCAACATCTTTACCGTAACAATGACAGTACTTGCATGTGCACGTGTGCTTGCATATTGCTTATTGGAATTATCTGACATGCCATTAACGAACATCATGTATCGCTAACATCACCCTCACTCCAAACGACCCCCTTTCCTCTCCATCTTCTAATACGATGGTCCAACGCCGTGCTACTCATGCATTGACAAGGGAATGGTCAGAAATCGAAGTGGCCATTCTAGACAGGCTGCCTAGCGTTAGATGCAGCATGAAGCGCTGACTCTAAGTTTGTTTTCTTTATCTGCTTATCGCTTTTCTGGACGAAGTTGTAAACCATTAAAGACCATTATTTTGCTTGAAAATTATGCGTGAAATTGAAAATTCAGCCGTACAGAGCCTTGTTTGCCTCAATGCTGGGCCAAAACATGCAGCGAGCTTACTTAAAATTTTTGAAGCCAGAAGCCGAGCTAAAAGTGCAACAATGTGCTCAATTTCGCTGTTTTTATGTATGATTTTTCACAATGAAACCGCTTGTAGCATCGTCCACAGAAGCGGGAAGCAGATAAGGAAGACAGATTCGAAGTCTGCGTTTTATACTGCATCGAATGATATACAGCTTGTTTGGTTTGGCCACTTCGACTTCTGACCATTCCCTTGTAAGCACAACACTTTGGGGAAGGGGGAAGTCGCACAGTAGCGGGTGCGCCCATTCGCTTGTTCGATCGGTCATCATGATCACCGTTTGCTTTTTTCTAACTATTCGTAGTGAGGAGGTCGTTCGACCATTCAAATAATCTTTGTAAACGTGCTCAGTCTTCAGGACAGGGCAGCTCTCTTCCTAACTTTGGGTTGTCAGAAAGCTGTAAAATTGAGGGTTTCACCACATAAATTGCAGTCAACAGTGTCTGTGAAAAATGCATGTTATTGGAAGCGCCTGGAGAACTACTCGAATCTGCCATTTGTAACTGAGAGCGATTTACGGAAAGGCTTCATGTTCACCTATGCCAAGTATTTTAGTACATCAATTTGGATGCAACTCTTAAACCCTTGATCTCCTTTTTTGAAATGTCCATCATTATCTCATCGTCGCCAAATTTTCCGCTGAGTTCACTGGAGCTTCGAAATGCCGCAAAATACGCCAAAAATTGGGTTTTGCTTTAGTTTCAGATCATTTTGATCAGTGTCACTTTGCTACATCCATATGGGTGCTGTCACATTTACATAACTCTAACTTGCACTATTTTCGTACCGGCCGTTACCGGATGAGGAAACTTATCTATCCAGACACTTGCCGCAACGTGATTAGTAGGTCATGAACTGCCAGCAACGCTATTTAGCACCATTTTGCATCGTAACAGAGCTGATCCCTGCACGCAATAGCTGGCAGTTCATCCTTGTACTACATGAAACCAGTTCATCCTGATCCTTGTACTACATGAAACCTAGATACATCTAAAACTTCAAAATCAAAGTTCAGGTAGGATTTTCGTCCGATTAGGTTGAAAAAAAAGTATTTAGAGGTTTTCATTCAAGGCTTTCCGAATATGCTTGTGATTTTGTTTGATACCTCAAAAGTTTTGGACTGTTGTTTGCTGCCCGCTGTTAGACCTTAAAAATTAATACATTGAATTTTTAGCGAATTCTCATTTAAATTTGACCTCGTCTCGAAAGAAATCTGTTGTTAGGTTCCATATTTTGAGTAAAACCGCCTATTTGGAAACACTATGAAATGAGCCCCTAAATGTATCTCAATTTGCAATGACATTTATCGAAAAAACTTTTATAATAAAATTTTGAGATATCAAGCAAAATTACAAGCATGTTCGGACAACATGCTGAAAAAACTCTAAATACGGACTAATCGGACTAATTATCTAAACGATTTCGAAATTTCAGATAAATCTAGGTTCTATGCATTAGAGGATATCATAGGATAGGACAAGCTACTGTGTGCAGAAATCAGTCCTGTTGGGGTGCAAATTGGATGCTAGTAGCTTTGTTGACAGTTCATGACCTCCATAAGTGCATTGTGTTTGAGTAGATAAGTTCCGTTTCCCGCCGTCACCCTTGCACTTTCAAGAACAAGAATAACAAAGACTCCTTTCCTTAAAAGCAACGAATTTACATAATCTACGGCGCAGTTCAGATCCTCTTAAAGGCAGCAGCTCGCCAAAACCGAACATCCGAAAATTTGACATGGAAGGATTGCAACCCAAACATGAGAGCAGAGCAGGTCCGAGCGCGCAGCATGTTGCCCTTGCCTAGAACACTTCTGTGAATCCGTTACGCGCAAGCCATTCTGATACGCGTGGACGAGCTTGCGATTCTCCGTGAACCATCAGAGAAGGCAGCCGCAATGTTATAACTGCGAAGGTGCTGCAACAATTTTGCCTCTAACCATGGCAGGACGTGCTCCACTAATCCAAATTTAAAATGGGAGTCTTTGGGCAATGTGGTTTATTTTGAACATTCGCGCTCTTCAAGGTGGATTTTCGGAATCACCGCGCCTCGAATTGCCCCAGGTAAGCAAAAAAAACTCCAAGTCGAAAATCTGCCGAGCCGCTGCCTTTAAGGTGACAGTTAAAACTTTTGAGAAAAAACTCGAAAAAAAACTTCGAAATAAAACCAAAAAGAGATTCTTTCTGAATTCCAGTTTTCACTCTGTTTGGAAGCTATCCCAAAAAAGGTGGTTAAATCTTACTATCTAACAAAAGTAAATGTTGAGATTACTTGACTTATCAATCAGTTGCTCTTGCAAGATCAGTAAGAACGAATGAGAAGCAAGAAAGTTAATCATCCAAGATCATCGCTCAACTTGACTGAAATGTTGTTTTTTCAAATGGACGGCACTTACCATAGTACAAAGGTCTCTAATAAAGCTTGGTAGCGTTGCAGTATTTCGTTGTTCGATGCAGTATTTCGTCCCTTATAGTAATGAGTTCTCCGAAAACTACCTCTGCCACTCATGCATTTTAAGATGGTCACGTTTCACAATTTCTCTAAACATCAATAACAACCCTTCGAAATCGACCAAGTTATATAATTATAGAGCAAATACAAGACGCAAAACAAATTTCCTCTTCTTCATAACTCGTCAAACTTTTCCAATTGAACTTTAAGTGATGCCAACAATTCCCATACTAGGTCAACTAAATTCTCATAGAACATCGAAGGAGAGCTGCTCGGGTGTTATTCAATGCAACTTTTTTTCCTCTATCTAATGGTTGTTTTTTGTTTCCGATTCATGAAGTCTTTGAAGATAAAATCATTAAAACACATGTTTTACACGCGCCTCTGTTATGCCCCAAAACTCGAAACTTGCGACTTCGAATCCGTAGACTCCCATTCCTTTGTGTAATTAGTATTATATCATAGTACCATCATGGAGGTTTTGAATTCCGAAGTGGCTGACGCAGGCTCGTCAAAACCCGATAATTTAGTAAAAAAAACCTTTCAGAAATTATGGCGAGAGAAATTTGTACAATAACACCGTCAGAAAGAGGATGAAATGCTGCATCGAATGCTTGCAGGATCACTAAGAAACATGCATTTGAAAAAAGCGATAATACTTTCGGAACGACCTTGTAATAAATAGAGCTTAATAGTCACTTTCCTTTGGGTTAATTGCCTCTGGGGGTTTACTAGCGCTCGATCACTGACATAATGCGAATTTTCAGACACAAGAGCCAGAGCCATGGGAAGTTGAAGAACATCGATCAACTAGAGCGATATCGACAACGGTTAGGCAATCAATAGAAGAAGAAACCGAAGCTCCAACATCGAGGGTTCTACTAGCAACAACAGAAAAATCTTCACCAAATGAGGAGGAAGTTTTGCCTACTACCGAAGCAGCTACGACAAAATTAGTGTCAACGCCCGAAGTCACTGCATCACGGATGGCGTATGAGGATGTTACGCAAAAAGAGCTGCTTTCGACAACAGGTAAAATTCACTGAAAATATCAACTTTTATATGCAAAAAAGATTCAAAGATTATGGGTTTCTGAAATATGAATTCAGTTTACCACTACAAAGGAATTTACAGGAATGCAGATAACGGCCATGGAAGTTCAACGAGAAAATTTTCAAAGCACACTTGGGGAAGTTACACTCACTATCCCAGAAAAGTCTACAGCGGCACGCGAAAGTACATCCGAATATCTCACAACGGAAATAATTACAACAACATCTACAACGACGGAAACACTAACGAGATTCACGGAAACTGCAAGCATAATTGCAACAACTGAAGAAGATTTACGTTCTACAACGCAGGAGCCTGAACCGGGAGATGAGCCAGACACTCCAAAACTCACGGCTGTTGCACCGGAGCCAGTAATACAAGGTAAGTTAGGTTGGTTTTACATTTTACCCCTTGACAAATATCTTGTTGAGCACTATCGATCGTGCATTTGCACTTCGTCGTTTTCACTTTTATGCTAAGCTCATTGCAAATTTCAAGTCCGACCGTCTATGAATTTTGGCATGACTTCGGAATCTATGAAGTGACGTAACGAAGGCCAAGATTGTGTTCTTCTGCTTACGTTCCGGCTCGTCCACTTTCTCCAGCCCCTGCAAGTCAAAATTTTTAAAACTTCCACAAATCGATATTAGCACTAGCTGTTAATACCAGAAAGAAACGAAAAACAGACACAGCCACCGCTAGCTATGCTATTAAAAAGAATCCCCCAAAGGGGAGCAGCGTCGCCTTTATGATACTGTTGTCAAATCTTTTTCCCTGCTTGACGGATTTCAGACGTATAGTCAAATACTTGTGCATTTGAGTAGTTACCCAAGTGGCAGCAAAGTGCCTTATAAAAAGCATGACATCTTTTAGAAAAACCAAAACTTTCCTTTGCATTTTGTTGCGAACAACTTCGATAAGGTGACTAGAGCGCGTCTGTTTCATTAGGCCTTCAAGAAAATGTGGTTGCAGACTCCCTCCCCCCAACTTTAGAAAGCTGCTGCTACGCAATTGTTCTTATGACAACATTTGCTCGGCTCCTGGGCCATAGCAAACCCCTCTTGAGTCGTGACGATTCGCTTGAAGCGCATTGCACGGCAAATGCTTTCTGCTGCCCCCCATGAATAGGGATAGGCGACATGACCGAGGCATATGGCCGGCGTAACGCCGCGGCAACGCCGCCGGCACGACAAGGCAGCACCAGCGTGCCCGTCATGCAGACAGTCGGGAAATAGTGGGTCCTGATTGGAGACGCAAAGAGGTCGTGGTGCCGACAAATGACTAGCGGACAAGTACGTCCGGGTGGTGGTGCCGGCCGTCGTAAACAGAATCACATTGCACGCTAAGTACAATCAATATGAACAGCTGATAGCGCAAAGTCGCGAGGTGCACAGCTAATCTTAACTAATCTTGTTCCATTTTCTGCTATTATTTCTTCTGTTTTTTGCATAGGGACCAGACAAGGTAAGTCAGTTTTGATTATCATTCACTTAGGTGCTCTTTAGCCAAAAATGCTGCTCTTAAGCAGTCTTTAGCTTCGATAATCGCTTTGCAGCCAGTTTGGTCTAATTGTTTACTGCGTGTCTTAACTTTACAATTTCTTGCAAGTTATGCAGTTTTTACCAGAACTTTTGTCTGTTTCTTTTGCTTTTCACTAGCTATAAACCAGTCGCTTTGTTTTCATTTGAGTAAGAAGACGACTTGGATCATGGCTAATGAAGTGCATAAACTAGTACACATCAAAAGTGCTATGATTTTGTATATTGTCAATGTATCTCATATATTTTGTTTGCACGCCAATTTACGTCAAGCCAAGAAAAAAAAACTTGGCATGCATGTGTCTTTTCTATCGCCTTGCAAGAGATTTGACATACTTGTCTTCCAATGTCCAGCTCAGCAGTGCGCGACACAGGCATTGCGCTATCAGCAGTGGTATCTCCAGTTCAATACTCGACGTCTAGTGTTTACAATCACAATGAGAGTTGTATTTATACTCAAAGGCGAGAATCAGCTTCAATGAGGCTGCAAATTTAATGCTCGTGCTATTTTCTGGCTTACTAATTTCAACATATCAGCTTGAGGCAGTGGCGTACCCAGAATTTCGGCTCGGGGGGGGGGGGCGGCAAAAATTTTTTTCAAATGAAGGTGGGTGGCGTTAGCCACGCACTCCGAACTATTTTTAGGGGGCTTCTCAAAATTTTTCCGGGTCCCCAAACATTAAAATCCGGAAAAGGGGGCGTGGCGTCAGCCACGCCCCCGAAAAAAATTTCTTTATAAGGCTAACTTGAATTTTTAAAAAATTTAAAAAATTATTTTAATTGTTTACAAAAATAAACAAGTCATTTGCACATTTTTACAACTCATGTAAGTAACTTTCAAAAATTTCGCGACCCCCCCCCCTCTGTACGCCACTGGCTTGAGGGCCTTTCCATTTACCTTATGTACCTTCCTCTTGCACAGACTTCTAACATAAACATTGTCTATAGCGCAGTGGTTGCGCGCGACGCTAATTGCGGTCATTGCTAGCTCGGCGACGGGTGATCGCGAGCTTTTTGCGGCGGGAGCCCAATGCCCGTCGTGCCGAACTTGTGACTCGTTTTGAGCGGTCATAACCGCGTCTTCTTTGAGCTGTGCGACTTTGCGGGATTTAGGCGTTCGGTTCAAGAATCACCAAAGAACTCGCGAAAAGCAGATCATCAATTTCTCTGGGGGGGGGGGGGCTCACAGCAGATGCGTCAAACAAATGTTACATTTGATAAGTTGCCACAATCGATCCTCAAACGATAGATTGCAAGACACTTGAGGCGTCTGTGGTTGCTTCGCTAAAACGAACACTGAACATATAGAAAGAGTCGTTTACATAGAAACTGCCACTATTCCAAGCCCCTTCGTGATTAACTGGTGGGGTTGGTTCAACCACGGGGAGTGTTGACAACATCATTAACATAACAGCGGAGCACTTCGCTCTAATTGACTTAATCTCGACTGTAAGGCTCGAAAGCAATCGCTGACTTTCTTTTGTCTCACGTTTCTTCCCGGTTCTATCAGTGCACCTTCGATGCATGAAAAACTTTGGGGAAGGCAGATTACAACTGCATTCGATTAAGCTTCAAAAAGGCGGACATGCTGGTACGTAACCCGAACAAACCAGATAACAATTTTGGACGGCTCCAGTAGCGTGATTATTGTGAGGTAGCTTTTGTTACTAGGATATGTTGACAAGAAGTTGAATTGGACAAAATGTTACCAAACAGTTGCTAATCTGCGATTTTCTAGGAAATCATCAGAACTTCAGGAGTTGTCAAATTCTAAGACGTCTGTCTTATATTTTTTCTCAAAAGTTATAGAACTGCACAGAAACATCCAGGCGCCCGAAAAGTTTTAACAACCATCTTACATTGCTAATGTTTTGAGATTCGCCGCAGCTTTTCGCTTTTCCAATTGCTAGTAAGTTTTTCAAAAATTCCCAAAGCTCAAGTAATCATCCATTTACCTCTACAATCTGGTTGAAGCGATAAGAATACAACAACATAATCCATTCTGTGTAGTGTATGTTGCTGAGAAAACAACAAAGGTGGGAAATTTTAGCATATGGTGCAACGCCTAGCGTCTATCTTAGACATCATTCTCATGTCCAGTAGAATCGTCCTTGCTCACAAGAAGGCCATAGTTATATTGCCCTATATGACTTTTCATCATGTGTCCAACCTAGAACGAGATAGATGCCTGCTTCTAACTTCTCAATCAACAATTTTCGTGTATTATTCATAAGGAAAAAACCCGGTGATCAACGGTTTCCCTCTCAAAATACAAATTCATGTACCTTGAGGTGATTGAATAACAAAGTGGTACCGGAAACAAAGCTGCAAGAACATTTCAGTGCACTACTTATCCGCATCCTAGGAAAGTCAAGCAGTCCGTGATTGAAAAGATATGTCGAACAGTGATCACCTTCTTATCGAATATCCAAAAGCGTTTCTACTTTCTAGCACTAGACCGACAAGTAGCCAGATCAAACTGGTACGCAACAAGTAACTGTATTTTTAGATCGCGCGCTTTTGTAAGCAGTAGAATTCCGTATCAGGCCCTTTGCGGTTTCTGAGCCTAGGTTAGGTCATCTCAGTACTATCAGGTCGTTTCCTAAGTTTGTAGAGTTTTTATAAATCAAAATGACAAAATTTTAGCAAACAGTCAATAATGTATGTTCCGTTAATGGGTAAAACATTCTACCACCATGCCGTCGGATTTTCAGTTCCGTTTTTCCAAAACACAGCAGCTCTGTTCCCAAAAAACTCGTCTAGTAAGCACCTGAGATCGTCTTCAAAATCAGAACAGATGCCGACATGATTCGTGAAAGACTGGAACGGATGGCAGTATGCTAGAGCGAAATTTAGGACTACATTAAGCACTAATGTACTTCCCGGTCAAGTCTTGCAGGACAGCTATGACGACGTTGCCGTCGAAGGTCAGTTTTGCCGCGCAGAAAAGTTCACTGGACCGTTTATTAGACCTTTTGTGCGGTAAGGGTTTGTTTAGACGTGAAATCTGGTTGCATACGGCGGGCGACCGTCTCGTTCTTGCCAGCAAAATTCAGAGCAGAACCTCCTGCCCATCCTGCAAAAAGTTTTGTTTAGGTGACACCCTACAAACTCTTTGTTTTTAAAGCAATCCAATCCCTTTCTTTTCTCATATTGACAAGAAAAAGCCATCTTATACATATATTAGGCAAAATATCTGAGCATAACGCTCTTCTCTTATTGGGAACAAAGGCAAGTGCCGAAAATGCTTCTTTCTGCCTTCTGAGAAATCCTCCTTTAAAAGCTGGGAATCAAAGCAGATCAACTAAAGGTAATAATTAGGCTACTTTGAAGAGCATAAGCAGCTTTTCTCGATGATATGCGCACCTTTCCCCAAAATGGCCGCTCTTGACGAAATGAGAACGAGAATGAAAACTGTACGAACCTACAAACAACCTATTATAATTAAAAGACATGCACTTCTTGCATAGTTGGGGGCTTCTCGTACCCCCCCCCCCCCCCAGTGGCGTACCGAGGGGGGGGGGGCGTGGGGGGGGGCGCCCCCCCCCCCCGAGAACGGGTCGCGAATTTTTTGAAAGTTACTTACATGAGTTGTAAAAATGTGCAAATGACTTTTTATTTTTGTAAACAATTAAAATAATTTTTAAAATTTTTTAAAAATTCAAATTAGCCTTATAAAAAAAAATTTTCGGGGGCGTGGCTGACGCCACGCCCCCTTTTTCCAGATTTTAGGGGTTGGGGCCCGCAAAATTGTTGAGAAGACCCCCTAAAATTTTTTCGGAGTGCGTGGCTAACCTTCATTTGAAAAATTTTTTTGCCGCGCCCCCCCCCCCCCGAACCGAAATCCTGGGTACGCCACTGCCCCCCCCCCTATTTGATAGGGTAAGTATCGCTTGAAGGTGGCTCTGATCCTTTTTTTAGCAGTAATTTCCAACTGAGTTACCTTGCATCTTCACCTTGACGTTTGAAAAGAATGATTCTTATGTAATCGACTTTCTATGCACTACGAAGGCGATAGATCGTAATGTTGGCTGAAGTTAACAAAAGAAGGTTGCCATTCTGGTTCTTTGCTCAACAACATAAACCAGAAAATGCCAAAATTGAAGAACTGTCGAAGTTATAGGATAATCCACTTTTTCCAAGAAATTTTGTGGCCACTTTTCATACAACTCAGATGAACCAACCTTATGAGGTCGGTGCAAAAGTTCGCGCGGTAAAATATTATTTATTATTATTATTATTATTATTATTATTATTATTATTGTTATTGTTTATTATTATTATTATTTATTATTATTATTATTATTATTATTATTATTATTATTATTATTATTATTATTATTATTATTAGAGATTATTTTAAAACGAACCTAAAAATCAAACCAACCAAACACTATATTGTGCCTACCCTGGCCTCGTAGGAACTGATAGGCAGCTGAGACCATTCACTTTTTTTTCTGCCCTTCAACTTCATTTTTTTTGCATAATTTGCATCAAAAACTTCAACTGATTCTAATAATCCGCGCAAATGTGACCAAGGGATGGCTACTTTGTGCGTAAAGGTTGTTATCAGAAATTATTATTGCAGAAATTTTAGAACACTTGGATTCTGAAAATTTTCAAGATTTGGTAAAAGGCATATCTGCAAGTTCTGATAGACTCAAGACCTGTGCAAATTTATTCTTTACGACTGAAAGGTGCCAACCATAGACATGAAAAAAGCACTGCATTTCCCTAAGGCCCGTATGCACGTACATCCCCGCGGGGAGGGGATGTGCGCTTAACCATTGAAATGATCCCCGCTGGGGATCCCCTCCCCTCCCCGCGCGAACCCCCCGTATGCACAAAAACAATATCGGACAAGGGATCCCCTGTGGGGAGGGGAAGTGAACTCTCTTATGCAGAAGAGGGGATCAAGCGGGGAAAATCACCTTGCTTTCAAATTTTCTATGAAAAACTCTTTCTTATCATATTTTGACTGCAACTCATCTTCATCTCCTCACTTTCATAAATTTAGGGTTGCGGAATGCGCGTATGCAGTGACTGCGCTCGGGGCACTAAAAATGATTTTTTCTACTCCCATTATGATTCTGCTTTCTTGGATGCTGCCCACTTTCGCTCATGCTGCTCCATTTCAGCGTAAAAATGTTGAACTATAGAAGTTGATGTGTCTCTGCAAGGGAATGGGTAGAAGACGTTATGCTGCCGAAAAGGGGGGGAGGGTACCGCGCGGACGCTCAAAGCAGTATTCTAACACATAACAGAAGTTGCAAATTTTGCCAGCTCTCCATAAACGCTGTAGCTATCAGCTGCATATCGTCCTTTATCCCAGGGGAATGATCCCCAGCAGCCATCCCTGCTATGCACAAGGGGAACGCTGGGGAGGGGATCACTCCCCAGGGGATCTCTACTCAGAAATAGGCAAATATGCTACTTTCTAGATTTTTTCGAGGCAGCTTATATTTAAAAAAAAACAAGATAATGGCAACATGTCATGAAATATGAAAGTTACAGTGTGTTTAATCAGCCTATATAGTTAAAACTATTATGTTATATGAAAAATGCACAAATTTCCTGAATGATCAAGAACACCTACAAATAATCGAAATTGGCAGCTATTGTTGCTCGGATTTCTTCTCAAGAGGCGAATATAGAAAAGAAAGACAAATTGCAAGCCACAGGTCGCTGAGAGAAGAACTCGGCTTTCAAAGAAAATCCTCCATCAAAATGAACGAAATGCTTGGTAATGACTGGGCAGAACCAGAATATCCGCGTCTCTGACATGATCTACACCATCGAACCCCTACTTCGTTGCAGGGGATGTCGATCCCCTCCCCCGCGTTATTGAGTTGAATTCGCGCATACGGGGTTCGAGTGGGGGAAGGGAAGGGATCCCCTCCCCCATTCGAACCCCGTATGCACTGGGGTTCGCTCGATCAATACCTCTGAAATCATTCACACCATCCCCGCTTAGGTGCAGGGGAGGGGATCGCTCCCCTCCCCTCTGTCATGGCGGGGTTCGGCGGAGGGGATCGTTCCCCTGGGGATCCAGCTCCCCTCCCCTCCCCAGCGGGGACGTACGTGCATACGGGCCTAAATCTGTTAGTTTCTAGATTCCAGAATAAACCCTGAGAATTAGCTAAATTTGGGCAATTTGAAGTGCACTACAACTTCCGTTTCCTCAGTTATATAAGTAGATCCCAAATCAGCATGAAATTTTGGACATGGGCGACCGACGAGGCTAATAACGAAACAAGTTACAAAATCTATGAAAATACATCTCACGAGGGAAGGAAGTAGTGACCTTGTCCAATCTGGATGAGACACGCATCACTGGATGGGTCTAGAACTCTGAGTTCTGATCTGATTTTAATATCTACTAAGCGACTGCATGATAAGCTATGAGCGTTTCCATAAGAATTTTTGCATTGTTTCAGTCAAGCCAATCTATGACAAACGCTCATATCGCTGTTTCACTCTTAAAAACAACTTCTGAAGAACGCAATTTGAGTTTTGTTGACCTGCCTCAGTTGCCTTCTCTCAAAAACTCTGATATCAGTAATTCTGACGATGTTTAATGTAAATTTTGCGTAATAAAGCTCATAACTTATCTTAAGGCTCGTTTATCAAATGTGGAAAACAGATTTTGAATCAGCGTTCTAAGACGCATTAATGATTTGTGTCTCATTGCGAATGGTCACGGCCATCATCTATCCTTCCCTTGCAAGTAATGATGGATCCGAAGTACAAGGCCAAGAAACGTCTTTCCATTCGAGATAGATAATGGGATGTTCACCACTACCCCAAGAATAATTTTGTAATCTCCAAATTTTACTCTAACATTGCGTTGCAGTAACAGTCGAAGCTGGGATGTTGGTGTTTGAGAAAGATCGTCCTCGCAAGTCAACAAAAAGGCGATATAACTGGTATTATAGAACTGGCTTGATTCGAAGTAATTTGAACTGTTATTTCAGGACCATTTTCATAATTTTGTCAGTTATTGCTGGAATATTAGTATTCGTAGCAATTCCAGCTATTCTTATACTGACAGCGATGAAATACAAGCAAGCAAAAAAAGAGGAAAGGACGAAGAGCTCCAATGGGAAGAGATACACAGCAGTTAGCAGAAGCGAAGCCGGGTGTGGAAAAAACACACGCAATCATGACCATGCAGAAAACCCCAAAGCCAAAAAACACAAGGCTGAAATGAAAGCAAGCAAGAAAGAAAATGGAAAGAAGCACTTTGGGTACTATAAAGGCCAAAAGTCCAAAGCCAAAAGCAAAATTCATGGCGTAAAACACAAAAGGACAACAGCAGGAGCAGGGCACAAAAGAAGGTTATGACCATTTTTGTGAATCAAGTCAAAAAGAGTCAAGAGTTACTGATATATCAAGAGCTTAATTGCTGCATAAACATTTAGTTGAGCTTTTAGTACCACACCTGCTAATTTTTGATTCACGAATTTGATTGAGTACTACATGAGTTTTCAACCACTCAAAAAAAAAAAGAATGGAAGAGGTTAGAACGTAAGTATTTATGGAAGGCGCTGCGAATTAATTTTGGCCGATTTAGCGCAAAAGCTACTCACTTTCGGGTAACTATAATACATACTTTCCGACAAAGCTTCTCGTTCTTCCATCTAAGCCCTCAAGTGGGCCATCAGCGAATTTGCGCTATGGCAAGGTTGCTAAGTGAGACAACGAGTTATGGAGGGGAGGGGAGGGGGGGGGGGTATGAGAACTTGCCTCAATCGCATTAACTTTTAATCCACATTTGTCACGAATTCTTGCGCTGTTTCTTTCATCGATCCTTATCTTTTTTGATTGAGATGGAGGGGAAAATTGCGTCGAAGTAGCAGACCATTAGGCAGAGTTTCCTTACAAGGGAAGTTCACTTAGTCGAAGTGGCGATTTGGAAGAAGATCTATACCAGTGGATAGAGTTTCGAAAGCTGATCACAGATATACCTTCTATATCTGCGATGCGTTGTTCTGAAAAAAGTTATGAGCTTTTCTGGAGCCAAATTTTCGCGCATTTTGAGTCGCAAAATCATGATAATCGCTACACAAAAGTGTGCAAGCTTAAGCAAACCACCTAGGAAGCATTGTAGGTCTAGCTCAAGTTTATCCGAACGTTTTCGAGTGTTTTTCGACCATGTTGTTTATTCACAGGCCGTCATTTGCTTCCTAGATCGCACTTCCATTATATGTATATACAAAAAAGCCCATAACCTCCATCTAGAAGAACGCGTCGCAGATAATGAATATGTTTGAGAACATCGTTTAACGTTCTATCCATTGGTAGTTTCCAAAAAGTTTCCTACGGGACGCGTTTTTCTAGATGGAGGTTGTGGGGCTTTTTTGTATACATAATGAAAGTGTGATCTAGGAATGAAATGATGACCTGTGGATGAACAACATGGTCGAAAAACATTCGATAGCATTCGGATAAACTCGAATCAGACCTACAATGCTTATTGGGTGGTTTGCTTAAGCTTGCACACTTTTGTATAACGATTATCGTGATTTGGCGACTCAAAATGCACGAAAATTTGGCTTTAGAAAAGCTCATAACTTTTTTTAGAACGACGCATCGCAGATATAGAAGGTATATCTGAGATCAGCTTTCTAAGCTCTATCCAATGGCATAAATCTCCTTCCGAATCGCCACTTCGACTAAGTGAAATTCCCTTGTTAGTTTTTTTTTTTGAAAAGCCGCCGCAAATACAATACATTGAAGACAAGCAAACACTCAAGCATCCGATTCAGAATCTTTTGCACTTCGCAGCTACCATATTCCTTATATAGACCGTTAAAAGAATGCTGGATAATCGCCGGAGATTACAACCCTTCGTTTTCACCAAGTTTAACTTCCGCTAATTTTTGAAATTTCTATCGGGGACTTTTGTAGGTGCTCTACTAGAGCCCGAGGGCAAACTCGAAATATTGCAATTCTTTGTAGATCTATGGCGCGTCTTTCAGAATTTTTGATAAATTTTCGAGGTAACCGAAACTCATATTCGCCGCCTATTTTGACCCTGTATACATGAAAATGTACACTGTTTAAGGTATTTTTTGATGCAACTTTCTCCTTTTTCGAACAATTCTTTCTCGGCAAAACACGGGGAATTTGAAGAAAAAATCACAGTATTTTAACATTTTAAGAGTGCGCACTGACGGAATCTAAGTTTTGAAATTTTTCATTTCGTAGCGAACATCGCTAATTTACTTTGGTCAGTACTAGTGACTAACAAACGAAACCTTAATACTATGAAGATTTTGCAATGTTTGGTGCATTATGTGTTATACAAATCTTTTATTACTCAGTACTTTTGGGAAATATTCAGCAAAATTCTTACAAGGGAAGGATAGTTGTTCGAAATTACTTTTCCGTAACAAATGTAAACCATCTTGTAGAGCATGGAACGCAGATTCTAAGCCTGCTTTCCGTTTTTTCCTGGAGAAAAGTTATGGAAACATTTCAATGCAAAAATTTGAAAGCGCCGCTACCGAAACATTAGAGCTCTCTAGCCCGCAAGCTCAAATGGGGCTATAATTATTACCAGGGCGTTCTATACAATAAATACCTTCAACTGGAAACTCATGTCAATCAGTACTCCTTTCAAGCACCGAAAAAATTGAGCACCTCTTTTTTTACCTTAGCCAAATCATCGAATTTGTATCACTAAAAGTCCCCAAACCTCCCCTTCCAAAAAGTGCAGACAAGGAAAGCAGATTCAATATCAGCGCATGCTTTTTAAGCAAGTATACATTCCATATAATAACGCCACTTCCACCTAGTATCATTCCCTTGTAAGAAGTAAGCTGGAAGAAGGTAAGAAATTGTTTTAGTTTGCAAAAGGTTTGCCTTATCTGTCGGCATTCAAAACTTCCAAAATCCGCAAATAAATTTCGTAAGATTTACAGAAACTCAGACCTGTTGACAATGACGGGTCGCAAGCATCGGCAATTACCTCAGCGAGTATCAAAAAATCGCATCGCAATATAGTTGCTGGGAAGAAAAAGAAATTCTGCATTGGATATTGCTTGGAGTATGTGTTTGTTTCGTATTCTAACTTATTTGCGGATTCGAAAAACTAACAAACTGCCGCATCGATCTAATACTCAATTTTATCAATCTTATCAATTCTAGCACTATACGCGATAGTTGATAGTGACATATGACAGAGATTCAACTGATACACACAAGTTGTTGATACAAGCTTGAGTCTGCAGATTCAAACTCTTTCAGAAAACATTGAAAGGGCTAGGGCAAAATTACTCAGCAGGAATATTCAAGAGTTGATGTCACGACAAAGATTACTTTTGTTTTGCCATGACTACACACTTCTTGAAGAGTAAGGGCATGTATTGACTCAAAGATGCCTGACTTCCAAAAAGAAGCTTAATTGAGGCAATGCAAAACTGAAAAAACACACAAAGGTAAGAACCTACACCTACGTCAATTTGTGAGGCTATCGCACTTACCTTACACCACAGTATACAGGTAGTATTGGCGTCTCGAACGTCTTCCCTTGGCGCGAAAATCCTTCGTAACTTGCCCAAAGGAATGATTTGCAGAAACGGAGGTCAGATTTGGAATCAGCGTTCCAAGGCGATTGTAACAGTCTAACATTGCAACATCTCTTCTCAAAAGTCCAGGGACATCAAGTATTGTTCCCTTGTTAGACCCAAAAGACTAGAAAGTTTTTCTGAGATTTCCATGTCCCTTAGAAGACGAGTAAAAGCATTATTGATTGAAGTTGCTAAGATTTTTACTCCAAGCACTCTGCTGATTTAAATGAACCCTAATTCGAGCGCGAGGCATTTGCATATTGGGCTGCAGCAGTCCCGTATTAGCTTGAGCTCTACGCGAAACGGTTCGGAACGACTTAAATCACAGCATCTCCCTACAGCAAAATAAAAAGAAGATTCATTTGACTGTTTGCACAAAATTGTGGAGATAGGATAACTGCGGCTGCTAGAGTTTATTTTTATTGCTAAGTTGGAAATCATTAAATCAATAAAATGGCCGAAAGAGCCGCAAGAAAAGCCCATGTCCTTTTACAAGGTCGAAAGCGTATGTGAATAAAGTTTCAGCTCAACCGATCTAGCAAAAGCGCTCTTATAAGGGTAGTATAAGCAAATCATCTGCGAATTTTTATAGCCCATGTAGATAACTGCTAAAGTAGAGGCAGTAGAAATAGCGCCTTTTAACATGCACCCGGACTCTCTGATCCAAACATTTCAAGCTATTTTTCCTCCTTGCTAGACCGACTAGAGTTGAAGGCCTTTTGACTAAAAATGGTACAAGTAGAAGATGACATTAGTTTTTTGGGTACTTACCATTAAATTGAAAACTTTAGTTCTCATTAAAGCACTAATGCCCTGCAGTATTTTAACACACAACTCGCTTCATATAACGTGGAGCTAAACGACTAACTTTCAATTCTGAGATTACGTCGTTTTTCGATTAATTTGCCTCATGGTTAGATCTGCGAGGACACCGCTATTTTTGATGGAAGGCTCGCTGAACACAAGAGATGTTAGATGTTGCTAAATTTGAAAGCCTTGCATATCCATAATGATGAGACATGTGCTAGATGCAAGCAAGACTCCGTATATTTTCTGATTCTACGTCAGTCATGGTTTACTCAGCAGAAAGCTTCAACTCGCGCGGTTGCTTGGTAACTTCTAAGGTTCTCTCTTCTTTGCCATTGAAGCATTTGTTGTAGCAGAAAGTTAAGTCTCTTTCAAAAATGTAGTCACTTTTTCTGAATTGAATCACCACAACCAGTGGTGGTTTAACTCAGAAATCGCGAATATTGTAGTCGTTACGCTGCTTTTAACAAACGTAAGTGGCTATCTTATACTCGTGCGTGAGAAAAGATAGACCAACTTTAACCAGCAGTAGCCCCATTAAGGGTGACCTGAGAATGCAGCTGGTCTGAGCTCAACAAGCAAATCAGCTGTTCACTTTGTGACCAGTAAATAGATAATTCACTTGTCGTCAGCAATGTCCCTTGCGAACTTCCAACAAAGATAAGTGGCTGTGCAAAATTGGCTTCATTTGAGTAATGATAATTTTGAGCCCAAGAGCAGCGCAACTGAGAAGGTTGATATGCCAGATCAAAACGCTTTACACGAATATTTATTAGAAATCCAGTCGTATTTTTCGTTGATCTAAGAAAGATTTATCGCAAGAGTTGAACGAAAGCTAATCACAATTTGGCCTACGTCCTTCCTTCAGACTTAGCAGCACTTGTTGACGTTCGCCCCATGCTGCTCTTATGTTTCAACTTCGTTTTGCCCTTCATATCTGTTTTTCTATTCTTCACAACATAGACCGCAGCTGGTATGATCAAACACACAAGGATGGTTACTCCGATAGCGATGATGACGAACATGAGTCTGAATAAAATAATGAACACAATTTGTTCTCATACTGAAGACGAGAGAAGGATCTAACAAAACTGCGGTATAGCCACTCATCCAACGATGAGACAGTTATTAGACTGAGCGTTTCAACTCAACATGCTACCCATTTTTGTCTTTTTTAATAGTTCAGAACACTCACACATCGGCTTCTTTTCTGTCGAAGGGCTCATCATCCGCAGGATTCTTCCTGTCAATCACACTATTTTCATCATCATCTTTGAACGTCACTGATCCTTCATTGCCGTTTTTCTCAGGCACTAAATTGAAAGAGCACCGAGTATAATCAGAAATCGTATAATCTCTTTTTTCGAGGTTAAATGTGAAAATAACTTATGCAAAGTTATGATGAAGTCGCAAATTTTTGCAAGCAGGCAGTAGGTGACATTTGACAACAACTAATACTTATCATAAAAGCCCCACAAAAAGCTGAAGTTTACCTTTATTGGATTTCTCCGGATCGAGCTGCTGTGCTTTAGTGCTTTTCTCACGATTACCTAAACATTTGTCTCAAAAGACACATATTGCTTATGTGAGTACGTTACCACCTGCTGTTGCCCTCGCCGCAGTCTCTCGTGCTGGCTTTACTGAAATTATTGGGAAGTTCGCAGTTTTCGCAGGTAGTAACCTGGTGGACTTTTTTATAGGCTCAATAACTTTCGCCTTAGTCTCCTCCACAGGGAGAGTTGTCAATCCTGGCTGAAATCAGATTTGATGAATTTCTGTTTTATGTAGGGCAGTGAGAAAAAGATGGTCATCATTATGCTGTAACGTGCCACTATGTATGTCTCCCTTTAAAACGATGTCAGGCATGGACTAATATTTCGGTTCATACGGTTGGTAATGGTTTGAAAATTTATTCTAGGTAATTTGAACGAGTCACTTTTTGTTCTGAGACATAATTTGTCTCGTTGGAGTTATCCAACAAAAGAGCGGTGAGTTAATTCAATTGACAGTTATTCGCTGACTTGATTATCATTTATCAGAGTCAAGCAAGAAAGTGCAAACACCTTGCAGCTTTGATAAAGGTAGTATATCAGCAGAATGGGCCCTTCTCGGATTCGGGTGGATTTAGGTTTTAAACCGCCCAAGTACATTGTAACCCAAACCCCACCTGCCAATTCATGCGGTAAGCCTTGAAAAGTGCGCTTCAAAACTCCACCAGCCCCGCCCACTCAATGGAAAGGGGCGGGGCTGGTGGAGTTCTATAGCGCATTTTTCAGGACTTACGCATGAATTGGCAGGTGGGGTTTAGGATACAGTGCACTTGGTCTACTACCTAAATCCACCAAAATTCGAGATGGATCCATTCTGCTGGTCCACTGCCTTTAAGGTCTCATGATTTGGATAAGCCGAAATGCAATAAATTCATGTAATTGTGTGCTACCACTACACAGTTGTGATACCGACGTGTACACTTGTGTACCACTAACGTAAGTAAGTTCCTCAAGACAGAGAATTTGCATACTGCATAATCTGCGTAACAAAAATCAAGTTTGCAATTCTCTCAACCTCGTAAACAAATAATTATAAATTCATACCTTGGATAGTGGTATTGGTAGGTCACTCTCTGAAGTAAATTAATCACAATTGAAATACATGCTTTTTTGGTGAATTAAGAAAACATGTTGTTTTCCATGACACGCAAAAAGGCCAAATCAGATTACTATAAGGAAACCAAAAACAAGCAAGTTCTACAATAATCTCAGGTTTGCATAAATGCTACGCAAAGTAAGGTAAGCCAGGTGCCTATGTTTCAAGAATCTTAATATTTAAAGCGGTCTTCATTTACTTCTTGAACAAAATTTAGTCACAATCAGGTTCTTTATTTTAATCTTGAATTTTGCTAAATGTTTTATGCAAAAAATAAATAACACAATTCTTCAAAAACACAAATCTTTCGTAAAATTATGATGAAAAAAAAAATCAAAATCAGCTAAAAGCATCTGAGAAAAGCATTGCATTGTAAAACCTTGCTACGCTATGTCCTTAGTATCACTTCGAGTGCATGACTATGATTGATGCAGAATTTTGGTGTCTACAGCAAATGTTAGCCTGCTCAGGGACTCGCGCCGTGCGGGCGGCCAGCGATGACCTTACAATCTCGTCGGTGTGTGCGATTGTACGGTCGTCAAGGGCCGTTGGCACGGTGTGGGGCGCCCGCACGGTCTCCAATGTTCGCCGCTTGCACGGAAAAAGTCGGCCGCTCGTTTGCTCTTGGAGTAGATGTATCTTGACCATTTTCCTTGGATAGATCAATCCTTTACACATTTTGGGAACACGGATCGATGCTTGCAGCATTGCCAAACTTTTCATGGGGAAGCCCTCACCATCACTCTTGATAACTGTAGCCTCACACAGGTTCATTCCGACCTTGCTGGTAAAAGAAAATGTTGATAACATGTCAACGCTTAGCTAGCCTAAACACTGCGTCGTATCTCACATAGGTACCGTTTACGCTCACAATGTGTGAAAATAGTGAGCAGAAAGTAGAGGTCACTGTTAACCGCTTGCACGGCCACATGTAAGACGGACGACCAATAAGACGGACGCATTGCTGGCCGCTCGCTCGAACAACTGTATCATGCCGTTTGCACGGTAACATTGCCTGCCACTAGGACGGGGCTTCAGCTGTTTGCCGCACGCACGGAGGCTTTAGGCTTATGTCGACCGCTTGTACACTCCTTATAGGAGGGCCGCTCGCACGGCGCGAATCCCTGAGTACGTTCATCAAAAAAATTACGGATCGGTATAGAAACGGCAAAACTCCGGACCCACCCAATATCTAGAATTAAATCAAAGTCAAATGACTTTGATTTCAATAGTTCACGTTTGAGGTTGCTTGCAGTAAAGCAGAAAATTTGTTTTTACTTGCTTAATTGCTTGAAACAATGGATAACTACGCGGTTTATAGGTCGAATTTTACGAAAAATTGATAAAGACTGAGTCTTGAGCATTTCAAGCGCGTCTAATTGTAGCCAACTGTACCCATGGATGTCATCCACATTTAGGGGCGACCGCTTGCCCCACTAAAAAAGAGCTCCGTCTAAAAAAATGATGCAAGACTCGTAAGGGGCATGCGCTAGACAAGTGAGTTTTTTTGCATGCACTTGTATCCACTCTTAGAAATGAGAAAAAAATCGACGGCTGATATTTGACAACTCAATCCGGGTTTTCGGTCACGTACGTGATTGCACCACAAAAAACTTTGGTAAGCGTAACATGAAAGTCGCACACTACTATTTCTTTTGTCCGAGCAATACAGGAATGACAGGTTTATCCTAGAAACCCCAAAATCAATGCGATTTGTATTTTTACCCCATTTAGTTTCTTAAACTTAATTTTCGGAGGGTTTTGTTAAGTGCACTCATGTTTCGGTATGTCAATCGACCCAATGGAAGCTTTTTATATTTTTTTTTATCAATTTCGATTTTTTCCAGGATAAATAGATTTGTGTTCTAGTTTTTCAATCTCAAGCATTGCATAGATCAGTAAAGTATTTATTCCATCGATGTATGCTTATCCTCCACTTTTTGGTGTTTGTTCTGCCTCGGTGGCATGGAAAACAACATTAGTTTCATCATAAGAAATCCTGTAAACTCACTCTCAGCAATGTACTTCAGAACGCAATCATACAAAGTTTTGTTCTGCACTTCACTTTTCGACCATTTCTGCTGAAATTAAGCTTACACTCTTTTCGCATTTCTCTTCAGCTTTTTCGCCCTTGCACCTAGATCGCAATGCTTTCCGCAAATAGTCGACAACTATATGCTCGATTTTTTTGTTTGCTTTTACAGTGGATGGGAGAACTCAGAACGATTTGAACCATACATCTGTGAGCATAGTTGTGCATTTAGCAGATTTTCCTTGCCTTATATTTTTTTCAGATTGTGAACATCTTTTTTGATTCGTTGTGCAGTCAAATCTGACATAGAGCGTGTCATGTTGTAATCTGGCAAGATTTCGATACATATAAAAGGGTTGTTTACTAATTATCTAAGATATTCGTTCCAAATATTCACGGATTATGTTTACATTTATAAAAGCAGAAAGTACATATGTCCACGTCGTGTAAAAGCGCCAAGTCTTACCTGAAATAAGCGAAAATTCCCGTTACAGAAATCCTCGTTGCAGTAGCAGATCACCCTTCCATCCTTACTCCAACAGTTTTGTAAACTCTGTAAAGGTTTATGCTTTTGCGACTATCAGAAACTTTCCTCAAGATGTGCAAGTATCTGATAGTGTAGATATTACTGAAGTTTTCTCCATGCATTTACATTCTTGATAACATTCAGCATATTGCTTCATTTTTGTTTGGATATTATCTACAGAATGACAAATAACGTACTTCAGCTTTGAAATGGGCAGTCCGGAAGTTTGCACTCCTCGACGGCTGCTTGAAATCACACGGCTTCATTGTCTCGTACGCACACATAAATCCCTTAAACTACTCTGATTAGTATTAGTGTATTTTGCTGCGAGTTAAAACTCGAAGTTTGATAAGGAAATTGATTCTACAACAAGGTGAAATCCAATCAACTTCTTTCAGTCCTAATGTCGGAGAAGTCAAGACAATGTGCTGTTCTATGCTTCGTTTTGAATCACATTACGGCAGCTCAAATAAGAAGCAAATTATTTTTACATATGCACATATTATGCCTGTTCAGTTATGTTGTCTGTGTGTACATAGAAGATATTCAATTGCAAATCTATTAGAGAGAAACTCTATTCGTCCTCCGGACGAGAGGGCGTCATAGGCCACATCTCATCTATCTACAGAAAACTCAAAGTGAGCGGAAAACTCAGTGCATTTTTGCGGTCAGGAAAATGTGGAATCAAATCCTTTCACTACAGATCACGCAGCTTTTTCCTCGCAAAGCGCTTTAACGCATGATAGAAGGACAAAGTGTGAGTGTCCGGAATTCGGGACTCCCTCCCTCCCTCTAGTTATACAGCAGCCCAGTTATGAGGGCTTTTAGGGGGCGGAAGTCAACATAAGTACAATCAAAAACCGCACACCGCTGTGTGACGCGTGATAAAATGATTGGCATGGTGGCCCTGCAGGCAAAAGCTACCAGGCTCATTTCCCTATTCTGGTCTTCGTTTTGCTGTTTTACAAGAAAACTTGTATGAGCATGCTTATTGTCTGTACACCATCTCTTCCCTTTTTTTGATTGCAAATATCTTCAAAGAAGGTTTGTTCGATGTTTTCAAAGTTCTATGTGCACTGATGAAGAAAGATGACAAATTGTGCAAAACATAGGCATTTTTCGCAATGAGAGCAACAAATGAACTTTCCGAAGTGTCCGAATTGTCACACTCTCCTATCAAATTGGAAGGGAAGCAATACTGTGCGGGAGTTTTAAAACCCCTGAATGTGCATCGAATTGGCCATTTCTTCCAAGAAACCACTCTGGTCAGCGTAACAGATATTTTCAAAGGACTACTATTCCATTTCTAAAATAAGCACACTGATTCTACTAGCTTCACAAGACTATAGCTAGCTCTTTTCACTTTACGAACAAACTCCTGTGCTTCCGCACGCAGTCTACGATTTCGTTAAAATTCTTTTTCGGAATGAATTTGGTGATTTTTCTGAAAACAATTCCGCAGCATTTCTTGAATTTTTGAATCCACTAGTGCGGCTTTGAAATTTGAGCATCTCCTTCTGGTTGATTTTCAGCTCGATCACACGGATATCGCGATCGTGCAAGGGTATTCCCGAGGCAAACTTCAACAGCACTTCCACTTTGAGTTTCTGCACAAGAGTTGCCAGCCGCACCGCTCTATCAGCTCAGAGCTGCTCTGATTGGAAACTTTTCATTTCAAACATCAAATGATATATGCTGATGCTTGACAAACCCACCCTCCCTCTCAAATTGACGAAATATCTCAAGATAATATGGCGTGGTTATGAATCGAAACTTTAGTTCATCGATGAAAGGGGTCTACTTCCTTTTTCACTTGCGCGGTAATATGCTATGGCCTTAGTCACCTAACCATTTTCAAAAAACGATTTCTTGAAACTATACTACACATCGTCTGTTGCGCCACTTCGGCATCACTGAACCGTATGCCTCCTGAAGCTCCATGAACTAAAACTTCGTCATCACAATTAGGTGTCCACGTCGAATCTTCTTCAAACTCGTCCACAATGTTTTCTTCCACAAATTCTACCTCTATATCCCCATATTCTGCTTGATGGAATGGCAGATATGTGGTTGATAATCTTTTGCTCCTTTCGCAATGGTTATTCGCTCCACTTCACGTCTGCCAAATTCCTTCAGTAAGCTCGAGAGCACAAACCTCGGCGAGAACATCTTGTGGGTCAATGGGTTTGAATTGCGTATCAGGTTTAGCAACTATGTACGTGCGTTTTGGCATATTAAGACTTGTTAACCTCTCACCGAGGTGTTCGTGCCAAACTATTCTTTTGACATTTCTACCTCCATTTTGAATCACTTGCAGGGATATTCAGAGACAACAAGCAACCAAGCAGAATGATAGTCGCTTTAGTCTTTCTGATTACAGCTGTTTTGGATATGCACATGTTTAAAAAAATTATTCATTGCAGAAAGTGCTCTAATCAACACTCCTTTTAAGATATTCCAGTAAATTTTGTTGAAACTGCGCGTTCAAATTCTCGACTCCAAAAAACGGTCAAAATCCGGCATTCAGAGGCTCTTGGCAGGTGCGAACAGATTTCAGGTCAACGTCTGATGCTCTGCAAAATAAAATGGATCTCACTCGGAAACGCCAGTTCAAACTCAAAAAGAAAAATAACTTTTTTTCATAAAAAAGCTCCGTTGGCATATTGCGTAAGCAATGATCGCCGGCATTCGCGTAGGAACACAGCGCCGCCAGTTTGAGCCTCACAGAGGTTCCTTTGGCACTTCTTGGACTTCGTCTTTCTACGGCTGCTTCGAGTATCTTAGCTTGCCTGAACTTGTTGAGACCCTCTTGCAAAGCTTTTGTGCAACTGGCGTTGGCTATCAGTCGAATGGATTGCATTCAGATCCTGCCTCAAAATTATCCTACTTTTGAGTAATTTCTTGGTGTCTAATGCGTACCAAGTTCTTCGCGGAAGTCACTGAGGCGCATCCTCCTCGATAGCCCATGCATAACTTGATGTGAGTTTTCCCAGCTCATTACCGTCATCATTAACGTCTTTCTTTCTTGCAGCTCTGTGGGACCTTTTCTCTCAGCTTTCGACCGGTTCATACCTTCGCTCAAGGGTTGGGCCAGACTGCGCTGGAAACGCGGCGTACGCAGCGTACGCCGCGTACGCTCCTATGATAAAATATACCAAGCGTACGCTGCGTACGCCGCATACGCCGCTTTCCCAGCGAAGTCTGGCCCAACCCGAAAGAGGTGGTGATTGGAGGGAGACTAAGTACAGAGGAATGAAACTACTGAAACATCGAGCAAGTTCCACTTTTGCCTGATAAGAATGTGGTCGATCTCCCGTTCCATTAAGTGATTCCCGATCCACCTGTCTTTCCTTTTTCATGAAGATGGAGTTTCCATGAAAAAGTGGTGGGCGGAGAGAAGCCCAACGAAACGTTGAAGTTTTCGTTTCGGTGCCCATATTCAAACCTCCCCTTCTAGTGTTATCCCGATTTTCGCGCTGAAGTCACCCACAACAAACTTGTAAAAGGATGTCTCGTTTTGGACGACCTTCCACGCCCTCGTAGAGCAACTAGTTCTGATTTGTCAGCTACTGATGCTGTAGAGTTGCAGTTGGAGGCTTGCTAACGTGGAGATCGTAGTCGTAAGATGGCAAATCGAAATGATAGGTTCATGCCAATCGACGAGATGGGCGATATATGTTTGAACGGCGAAGCCAACGCCTCCGTCAGTCGGCGGTGGAAATTGTCTTGGCATTGTAGGTACACAGCGCAAGTATCTTCATGGCTTGTAGTCCTAGGAGTTTCTTTACCTTCAAGGACCCTGACATGTTCTTAACAACCGACGTCGCAGGCGGGATACGACGTGCAGCGTTTCCTTCTCTTCTTTTTGCTAAAAGAGTGACAAATTTTCCTTCCCACAAGAGCAGACTTATTAGCCTTGCTTTTGATCGGTGTAATCACTAACGGTGTGGAGGGAGGACTGCCTAGTGATCAGAGCAAACGGATATTTGACACATGCATTTGCTCACTTGCACTCTATCTGAAAGCATCCAGCGTCGACTTCTTGAGCACATCCAGTCTAGCTCGAAGTATTCAAGAAGTCTATTCATGAAAGCGGTGCCAAAAGAGACGGTTGCATAGATCGTTGAAGGGGTTGTACCTGCAAGATCAATAGATTCTTGTCTGATGTTATAACGAGCGTCAATCAGTAGCTAGATAGCCAAAAGCAAATTATCAGATCGTCTCAATTTGCATTTGTTTTGTGCAATTACAAGTTTTACCGTTCCAATGTTACCGACCTCACACGATAAAAAATTTTACCAGTTTCCACCTCCGCTTCGCGGAGGTTCGCACTGGCTCTGCTATCCGTATGTTATTCGGGGTGTGGTGCGGAAGGCGACAATCCCCAGTTTTGTGCCTAACAGAAACTCTCCGGTATCAAAGGTGACAACCCGGGAGACTACGGGGGTGGGGGGTGGAAGCAGATACATTACTCAATGCCAAAAGTAGAAATCCGTGAAAGTCATTGAGACGGATGATACACTGCCTCCATTTTTCGCCGATTGTCGCCTTCCGCGTGCCCCCCTGTTATTCGCGCTTCCATAATGATTACTTTGAAACACACCGCGCGAGACTGTACATCATAAATGAATTGTAAACAACTGTTCATTTTTAAAGCATCTCCATGTAAGATCGGTGATTTTGAGGAAGAAAACTCTTTTGCCAAGGAGCAAATACGAACTTAATGATTATTGAATTCATTTTGGCTTGATAGTTGTCATAAAGATAACAGTCATTTCGGGCTGCTTTTCCGTGCAAGAATCTTTTCAGGTTTTCAGGTAAAACCTTGCCAAATAGACTTTCTACGCAATCATTACCTTTTGGCGCTGTTTTTGCAGAAAAGCAAACTTTTGAGCACCTTTTAAGCTAGAAAAATTGGAGCACAGATTTACTTGAAAAGCAAATCAGGACTTTGCAAGAAGTTGAACTTGTGATCTATTTTGCGCGTAAAAGCCGCATGGACAGGTTTGAGGACTTGCATATTGAACCGGCTCGTCCTTGTGCATGGTGAGCCTACATGCTGGTAGAATATGTTATAAAAACTGTAGCTCGATAGCTTGGCTGCAGCCCCCTCTATGAATTTCGTGACAGACAGACAAAACACAAGCACAAAAAGACGGACGTTTAGCTCTTTATTATAAGTCATGCTTCTCTTTGGAATAAATAACATTTGCATTTCTAGTAACAATCGCCATTACTCCAGGTCATCTAAAACGAGAATAGAAGGATGGCATAAAGGCAACAGAACCAATGCGAGTTCTTAAATGACCCATGGTCTACCGATGACCGAGCTGCGAACGAGGCATGCACGAATGGACGACCGCAATGCCGCAGGTACGACTGCGGAAAAGATTTTGGCCCCAAAACGGTTGCATTAGATCGTATTTAGACATCCGCATACTTTGTCTACAACTGCTCAAAGAAATAAAATCTCACATCTCCGCTTTCTTTCACAGTGATTGCCGTTCCTTCATGACCTTGAAAACAGCGAAGGCTATGTATCAACAGTAGATCTGTTAGTAACAGAGAATCTGAAAAATAAGAAGTTTCGATTTCAAAACAACTGGCCTAGACTTCAGCATCTTTTCTTGTCCTGCACATAGCCATGGTATTATGTAAGTGTACTTTGGGTTGGCTCAGTGGGGAACATGTTTAGTATGCGTCACTCACATTTGAGTAAATTGCACCTCATTGCATAGTAAGCACCTAAAAGTGAAGCGTCACTTTGGTAAATGTAGAGGCAAAATTTTATCACTATCATTTTTTCTCAGACTAGTAAACACAAAAACACCTCGCACATGAGTGATTGAGAAGTTGTGCTCCAAATCACCTTTACTGATTCAAAGGCATTGCCCGGACAAGTTTGAGGGTTTTGAGATTTGAGTGTCATGCAAGATAGACCTCCTCAGACGCGCCATAGCGGAGGCGCGGGGCCATAACGTTGACTAGAAGCAAGAGCGATCAAAGGAATTTATAATGTCGGGGCGGATCTCTCCAACTAACAATTTTCTGCTCTGCGGTACGCATGCTGTCACAACTGGAGCCGTAGGGTCCCGCACCGACTCTGCACCTCTAGCGAAAACAGTTCAACTCGTCCAAACCCAAATCATAGGGTCTGGAAAACACATCTTGCCGTTCTTGCACTTTCTAACGAGGATTTAGTGCGGATATCTCAGTTATTCAAAAATTCGAGTTTTTGTGCCTGGACACTGCCTTCAATAGTCAGAGGGGAAACAACTTCAAGCTCGGTAATCAATCGTTGCGAAGAGTTCCTGAGCTTCCTAGCTTCAAAGTGTATGATAATTAAATCCAATGTAAACAAAACCCTACTAATAATGATACCGCAGTTCTTGTCTAACTAATCGGCTGGGTTACCAAGCACGGCTACGAAGGATGTGCGCAAATTTTCCGAAAGAGCGAAGTAAGAACGGAAACAAAGTTCATATGACTGGAAGCTACTTGCCTCAACAAAATCTTTTTCAGTAAGGAGGTCTTACCCTGATTACAAAACGGTCTTTTATATCTGCAAAATGTCTTAATTTACAGAGTCTTAACTTTTTCGCCATCAGACTGCAGGTCACTTTTCCCTAAATGAAGCGATGTCGTCAGGGCCGAGGTGACACAGTGAACCCTTAAAAGGTCACACCATTACCACTTTGAATGTTACGATTTTCATCTCAAAGGCAGTGTCCCGGTAGGTTTAGCATTTCCATCTTTTTGCATATTTTGGGCCCTTTCGACCCATAGACCCCAAATTTGAGCTTTGAAACGAGTGAAAAGACCTTTTTCGGGTCTCTCGAGTTTTTCGGGTCTGAAAAGACCTTTTTACGTCATTTCCAAAAAGGTACATAGCTCCGACGAGAATTGCAATGGGAAAGTTGAGAGGCCTTAGCACGAAGACCTGTCCTGTAATTTCTGCTGTGGATAGCATGCACAATGCGGGAGAGCAGTAGTGGAGTCCCGCACCGAACGATAAGCGAAGTCGTCCGAGCGCGCGCCGATTGGGGTTACGCGCGTCGGTTCAAGGGCTATTTTCTCTGCCCAGGGAAACATCAACTTGCCGAACTGCGCCTGGAGGTCAGTGGGATGACCACGAAGTCCACCATAGCAATATCCCCCAGGGCGCGAATCTGCCGAGACACTAACTCCAACCTCGCTAATTTCGCAGGCTGTTCAAACGTTTTATTCTTTGGAGGCTTCAACTCGTTTGCTATTTTGAACTCCATCAAAGAGAAGACGAGAAGTTTGCAAATCAAATTTGTACAATGTAGTGCGCATTGGGTGTGAAGCGGTTTGTGTAAGAATTATGGAAAAGTTAAATGAACTGGAAATTTTGCCACCCTCAAGGTGGCTTTAGCGTGGTAGTTGCCACCCCAATTTGGAGAAAAGTTGAACACTCTCCTCATTTCATGAGTTTGTCATAAAATTTTATATTTAATTTTTATTCTGGCTTTTTTACCTGTACACATCTGGTTTGGAGCCATGTCGATGGGTGTGCATTGCATTTTGAGTTTTAGCCTTTATCCGTCTACGTACCAGATTTGGTCGCATATTTATATGCGCGCAATCAAATCATATGTTTACTACTTCTGCGAAAAAAATCTGGTTCTTTTTTCAAAACTGTTTGAGCATGTCAGTCTGGTTGTGTTGATATGTCTAAGGAGCACGTCCACATACAAAAGTTGGTTGCTATATTGTAATTGTAGTTCTGAGCCTTGACCCAAGATTGTTAACACTTTATTGGCTGACGTTTCGGTAAGTTGCCTCCTTCAGAGCCTGGAATGGACAGTACGACTTGCAAACTATTCGATCAAATGTCTCTGGATATTAACTGTGATCAAATTAATTTGATTGTTTGTCTCAACTTATGCATAAGCTCCTCCCCCTCTAAGTGACAAACTTCAAAACAATATAGATAAATCTTTTTGAAAAACGCCCTTCAACTCATGAAACTTTCACTTCACCCAAAAACATGCAGTATTAATATAGAATCTGCATTGCGAAGGATCTGCAGGTTGTACACGATTACTTGTTAAATTCGAGGAAGCCTTAAAAACGAGAGTAAATTCGAGTAAATTACTTTAACCATAAAGGTTTCCATTTATAGTTTGTACAATGATGGAACACGAATGAAATGCAAATAGAGAATTACTATATTACTATTTTAAAACCTTACTGGTCCATCGTATACTAATTTGTTGCGAGGGCGTAGAAAAAAGTCGTAAACATATGATGCCAAGACTAAAATAGTTGGTGTCTGGACCCATAAACTTTCAGAAAAACTGAAACTTTCAGACTTTCGCAAAACTAAACTAAGCAGCCTTTTTTTAAACTTGTATTATGATATGCACCAGTGCACTCAGAAATAAATGTTACAATGTTTCTGGTTTCCTGGTTTCCTTCCGCTTCGAATACATTCGTTTTACTTTGGCACATTTAATTTCCACCACTCTGGGCAGAAGTTCTATGGTTCCGTTTAGAAATTTCTTCAATAGATGAAATTGAAATGATAGTGGTATTTTTTGAAAGAGAAACAAATTGCTTGGTATAGGACAATTAAGAAAACGGTTTCTTTCCAGTTGCAAATAGTATTTGAAATATTCTGCTACCCACAGAAATTACAATTTTAGGATTCAATATTTTTTAGTGTGCTTGCATTAAGTATTCGATAAGAGCTGCTTCCTAACATCGAGACCCCTTTCCCAAACTAACTCAAGCGAATTGTTCCAAGTAAAACAACATCCACATTCGACTTCCAACCGTAGCATGAGATTGGCGTAGGCGTCATTTTGTTGACTTTCTCCCAGTTTATCGTTTAGTATGCTTCCCAACCAGTTGATGAGCGACCTTTCCGAAGCTGTAAACAAGGAATATTCTGAGACTAATTGTAAAAGATGAATTTGTACTCCTCTGGTCTACTAAACGAAGGAACTCAAGCTCAAGGCGATTGAAGACATTCTGTACTCAATTTCCAAGATTTTTCTAAATGAATTTTTGCTTCCAGATGTTTCGACGCAACGTAGAAAAATTAAAATTCGAGCATTTTTTCTATAGCTTCTATCTCAGCAATTTACGCATAACATGGATTTTTTCAAAAACTTGTGTAAAGCGCATAATTTCCTTTATGATAGAAAATTAAGATCATGCAGATTCTTTCGGGGGCTGAGAAGTAACGAACTCGTGGAAATGGTGCGGAACCAACGCAATATAACAACATACATACCTTTGCTAAAGCATCTCAAACGACACAATCAGTTTTTTCTTTTCATGAAAAAAGCAAAATTCTTTCTGGAAATTCTGGAAAGTGCTACGGAGGCGTTGAATTCGTGAGTGAAAATGGCATTGGTTCTGAAAAACTCATGAATATATAACTGAGTGCAGTGAAGTGCAAATGAAATATGAAGAAAATTTCACTTCGGGCGCTGCTACCTGTTCAGTCTAGTCGAAGTTTATACAACGAATAGGAAAAGATTTTGGCGTTTGAGATTTTCTTTCAATGAACCGGTCGAACCATGAGATTGTAAAAAGATGACCTATCAGCTGAGGTAATTTACCAGTGTCTCGTTTTTGTACGAATCCGTACGCCTCACTTTGGTAATGGTGGGGAAAGCGGTCCTTTAGCTACACTTTCATCAAAGCTTTCACATCAAACCATGCGCATTTTATGAAGAAAATGAGCGACTGGAACTTTTCAAGGACAAAATTTCAGATAGTGATTGCATCATAGAAGAGAAACCAGGTACAGATAAGACGACTCTATTTTTAGGACGCATCAATATATCCCGAGTAGAAGATACTAATTTCATATCTTTCCCAATAAGCAGCCCCATTAGCTTGGAAGGAAGTGTAGATGCAGAACATGGGTGTCGTCGCTTATTTTACCTTGTAAATCTTTTACTTAGTATGTTTAAAACAACCAAACAAAGGTGAGAACAAAAAAATGCAGAAATTGTTCCCCAATTAGGTAAATTTGGGAGCAAAACGACTGGCTGGTCGGAATTATTACCTGATAGAGCTTACCAGGACGTATGAGCGCTGTGGATTATTAAGGTGCTTGATGTCCAGTAAGGAATGGAGGTTGAAAGGGAACATGAAAACGGATATTGCGCAGTAGTAGAAACAGCGAGTAGGTCTCAAGTTGACATTCAACATTTTGTCAAATAGAAAGCGTCAACTTCGCTCTCCGACAGGTACTTCAACCGAGCCCTCATTATTATTTCTTACTCCATTTCTTAATCAGAAAATGTATTATGTATGGCTCTGACTTACTCCCTCTGACTACAAACTAACCGGAGCCACCAAGTAAACATCTGTAGACAAAAGTAACAATTTTCTTGAAAGGCAACCCTGTAACGTATTCATATCTTGTGTTTTTGAGAGAGGACGAAATCTGTTCTTTTATGAATTTAACCACATCTCGTTATTTATTTATACTTTGCGTAGGTGTAGATGACATTTTGTACTTGCTAGGAAGTAGAAGAATTATAAAGAATGACAGCCTTCCGCTTTTCCCCTCCTCCCACTCAAACAGATTAAAAATACTTGAGGGTGGCCCACATAAGTTCGAAAAAATTGCAGATAACTTGTTTTTACTTAATAGTCAAAATAGTTTTTCATACCTGTTTCAAGAGTCCCATCAGTTGTGTAAAAAAATTTTTGGGGAGTGGCTGTCGTCAGGCTCCTTTCTCCTGAAATTGCGCTGCTAGGTCCACAACAATTTTGGAAAACAACTCAAACACTTCGGGGTGTTTTTACCGTGTTACCTCATCATTATATTTTCAAAAATTCTATTTAAGGAAAAAAATTCTGACGTCACTGATGCCTATTTATAATGACAATTACATTTTCATTAAAGACTGAATTGAAAACGTAAGAATGAAAAAAAACACACATAGAAATGTTTATATTCTATTAGCGGACCAGTTCAATCAACATTCATAGTATGGCATTTCATCACATCATTTTGGTGCAGAACTATCTATTTATGAATTTCAAGGCGATGGCACAGGATTGTGTCTATTCGTCAAGTGGTGTCCAGTACAGAATACCGTAGCGTTTATCTCGATCGTTGTCCATACTTGGCAAATTATGATAGAGACCGTAGTAGCGTTTTGACTGAAATTTTTGAAATAAGATTATGAAATGTGCTTCTCTTACATCAAAACTCCAAATTATTCTGTTTTCGAAAAACTGCGGATTTTTCTTCCATTCAACTTTTCCAAAGCTTGATTTTCTTGCTTCTGATGAGGTACAGATGGTGATTTTTGAAACGAGTAATCTGATGCCCGCACGAGAAAGCTATTATCCAATTACGCTATCTTTTCCTTTCCGTTCTTGCGTTACATCAAATTCTAATCTGACGAAGGAGTCCATTAACGTGAATCAAAGAGCAATCCTCTTTGCTATCGTAAAAAGACAAAATTATTTTTAGCAATTTTTTCTAGTACCTTTTTTGAGGATTTTACACATTTCGTTCGAGTTTGAATTTCAATAAATTGAGAATAAAGACTGGTAGTAGGCTAAAAACCCGCCTTACTTTTCCAAGAACAGTCTAAGTGAAATTTCAGAAGTAATAGAAATATTTGCCGAGATTATGAATTTGTATACATTTACATCTCCATGAATCTTACAAGTTGTATTTTAGTAACATTAGAGATTTTTTAGATTTGTAGATGGATAACCAAGCTCAAAAAGTTGATGACTACGTGTGTAGTCCAGAAATCTTAGAAAATGGTAAAAATAAACTAATTTTCTCCCTTGAGCGGTTTTGTGTTTGAGTATTTTTTGCTGCAAAACATCTTTTGTACCCACGTTGAAATACTCCTACAAATGCACTTTAGTAGAAATTACTCTGACGAAATCAAAAAGGAAATTGACCTGTTTCGGAGAACAGCTATTTGCTCTGTTTTACTCGCATATATAATTGAAGAATTTAATTCAAATATGTTGACATTTAGGTTTGCTTTCCTGAATATCAAAGAGCAATAATATAGATGAACGCGGGAAAAATGAAAATCCTCACCGGGGGTGCAGGCAAATTATTCCAGATACTGTGTATTGGTGAAGCGATCGAAGTGAGTACAAGCGAGAGTAGAAGTCCTAAAAATTCAATTTTTACAAATAAATTGCCTTTTAATTGAATCCTTTTTATGTCATATGTAAGATGAAGGTGCAATATAAATAAAGAAAATGCTATAATTTTTAGAGACATCGGTTTACTTTCTAGACTTTAGATAAACAGCTGTGCAGAATTTCCGAAGAGGGTGAGAGAAGGGAAAAGAATTTATGAAATCTAAGATGGTAAAAAGTCAGGAAAATTCTATATAGAGAGATAGCTTTATTTTCTGCGTCATATAAAAAAATTAGTAGTGGGGGAGAGGGAGGGAAGACAAAAAAGTTTAACCCTGATTTGGAAAAGACTTTGAATAGGAATAGGTACGAACTCACCAAGAGCAATCCACCTCATGCCTTCGACTGGTGCCTGCGATTGCTCGTGCTCTCGGGCTCAGTGCCCGCCCCTTTTATTTCCTCAACCTGGAGTGGGAGAGTGGATTGGCATGGTAATTGGGGTCCTTGTTGAAACAAAGGAAAGTCAAACCCATGGGAGATTTGAAAATGTCCAGGTAATTTGATTTTTGACATGCACAAGTAGTCCAAAGATTTGGACCGAATCCTATTTTTTGACAAGGAAGTATTGAGGAAGAAATTTCTCCTATCTGTGCACGAACACGTACTCCCTTTTAACTCGCTTTCGATTTATCCAAAAAATGTTTTTATCAAAGATTATCTTAGCTGTAGATGTGAGATTTCCAACACCATCGAGAGCGAATGTCAGAGAATTCTTTACGGCATGGGGAAATTTACAGCAACAAAACCTACATAAACCTCAATCTCAAACAAAAGTAAGTGGATGTTGATGTCTGAGTGCCAGTCATGAGGAAGTCTGGTGCACACACACTTTGCAAGCAAAAAAATATGTCATGTTGAGTGCATGAAAAAATTATTAAAAAACGCTATGTTATGAAAGCAATGATTAAAATGAGGAATATGAAATATTTATACAGTTGAAAAATTCCTGTTTTGTTTTTCTTGGGCAATGTTCATGTAGGTTCTAATTTTCTGGTTGAATGAGCTAGTTATGTAAGCTGAACTTTTCAGACATGAAGGAAAAACAAATTTATTAGATTTTCGACGAAGGACATTTGAACGTAATAGGCTCTTTAGATTGGTGCTTAGAGTTGGTCTTCTATTTCCTTATGGGTAAAAGTCATTACGGACCGACCCCAAAATTCCTTAACGAAAAAGTGAAGGATGAAATTCGTCACAAGACTGCCTTATAAATTAGGAACCTTTCCTTGAGAATGGAATTATAACAATGTGATCCTTGTTGTCCTTTCTCGCACATATACAGAAATAGGATTTGCTAAAAGTTCTAGAGTTCTTTGGGGAAAACGATGAGCGTGTAACAAAGCCGACCGAATATTTACCATCCATTTTAATGGAGAAATATCCTTTAATAAATTAAATAAAAAAGAGCCCACTTGCCGTTCGAAGTCGGTTAACTTCTAGCTGTGTTAACTCCAGTTTTTCGATTACTTTGATCTTCTTCCATGAAAATTTTGTGGCAACTTTTGAATAAAACTTGTTCTCCGTGCTCTAAGCATGAATCCCGCATGAACGAGTTCCTTTCATAATCAAGATGTAATATAGCAACATGCCAAGTCCAGACGATGGGACAGCCAGTGTCTCATGTCTTGAGCATTATGAGAAAAGTTTCATATATTGCAGTAGCTCATTCCATCCATAGAGAGGGTATTGCAACTTCAACGAATTTGCTTCCGCTCGGATGAGCGCAATGGAATTACAAAGCAAAATCGTCAAGTCTGATATTGCGTGATTCGTAATAAATAATTGATGCACTGATCTATATAGATATGCAGAGCTTGCAAAGGACTTTTTACAGCCTCTGCGAATCTTGCAAGTTCCAGGAAATGACAAAAGAATGTAAAAAAAAACCTCGAAGTAGCTCAATTTTACATCACAAAGCGAAAGTAGCCTTGTCTGCCTTGTTACTAACATCATTGGCATTTTCGGCTAGCGATGAACCTTGCAAGAAATTTTTTCTTGTGAAGTTTCGTTTGAGCAGTGCCCTTCGACGGCAAATTCAATCAACGAAGTGCTTTGCAAGATCTTACGACTGTCGCCAACTCCATTTCCTATACAAAATATATAAAAGTCAAAGTTTAATCAAACAAAAATTTCAGAGATTATCGGGAAATTTCGATCCATTTATCCGTGGAGAAAGGTCGATGGTTGTCATTTTTATGGACCTTTGATACTTCGGGATGTGCAGCTTACTGGAGTCTTGAGCTGGGAGCTATTTAATATTTTACTCACTTGCAAAGATACATATTTGAGATATATTAGGTCATTCCGAAAGTAATTTCGCTTTTTTCAAACGGGCGCCGCATCTGATGGAACAAAGGTTCCTAAGAGATCTTGAAAGCATTCGATGCAGCATCTCATTCTCTTTCTAATGGTTATAAAATTGTTGCAAAACAGTCAATGAGCTTTCAGAAAATAACCAAAATCTGCGACACATACTTTTTGGGATGGTCAAGTTTCGCGATTTTTTAAAACTTTCATAACGAACCTAAGAAGGAGTTCAAGTAAAGATTCGATAGAGTAAACCTTATAGAGTACAGTACTACTTTTTCTCTTTCTCGCAGCTTGCCGTAATTTTTTAAAAGATTTTTTAACAGAACCATCGGATTTTGGCAGGCCCACCTCAGCCACAATCGCATCAAACACCATAATTTTTCATAATTTGAGACTACCAAGATGTTATTATGAGTTAGCATTAATTTTACAAAGCAAGTGAGGGTTTACGGATTCGAAATATCAAATTTCGAGTTTTTCGGGTACAGCCTGGGGCTCGCTAAAAAAATGAGTTTTGATGATTTCTCCCCGGAAACTAAACGAATCGGAAACAAAAAACACCTGTTAGAGAGAGGAGTAAATGCTGAATTGAATAGTGCGCAAGCTGCTTTTCTTTTGATGTTCTACGAAGATTTAGCTGCCCGAGTATGAAAATCGGTAACATCAGTTAAAATTCTGTTGAAAATGTATGACAAGCTATGGAAAGGAGAAAAAAGCAGTACTGTATTCTGTAAGATTTACTCTATCGAACCATTACTTGAACTCCTTCTTAGGTCCGTTATGAAAGTTTTAAAAAATCGCGAAACTTGACCATCCTAAAAAGCATGGGTCGCAGATTTTGGTTATTTTCTGAAAGCTTATTGACTGTTTGGCAAAATTTTCATAACCATTAGAAAGAGAATGAAATTCTGCATCGAATGCTTCCAAGATCTCTTAGAAACCTTTCTTCCATCAAATGTGGAACCCGTTTGAAAAAAGCGAAATTACTTTCGGAATGACCTAATATATGAAAACATGGCCCATCTCAAGAAATTAGCGGTTATTTTGCGAGAAAAAAGCCCATATTTGCGCTGTAGGATTTGTGCTAAGGCTTCCATAATGAAACCTTGTCTGCTCATCCCAAAACAGCGTACATCAATTTATCAACTGGTGAAAACAATGAAAAAGCGTGAGACACCGACTTCCTCGACAAAAAAAGGCGAAGCCATTACAAGTACCGCTCAAGGCACGGACTACTGTACCGCTTGAAAGAGCTTGCCATCTTTGCTTTTCTACGATGTGATACTAGCTTTTTTTCGAAAAGACGTAGCGCTATAGGTTTCTTCTGATCATAAACTGCAATGTTCTGTCATTCCATCTGAAATAAAATTTGCATCCCTACCACAAATCGACGTTTACATATCCATGTTAGTATATGATTACCGTGAGATACATTCTAAGGCTACGCATAACAAACTATATGCTAATTGGTACTAATATATGAATTAACTGAGTAAAGATTATTAATTTGATTTGGAAATGAGCGAAAGGACAATGTTGCTCGTTCATGTAATCATGTTCTTTCTTAATATGCATGATGGGACTTAACATGGGTTTCATGACTGGCAGTTTGTCACATAGAATCATACCCTCGATACATAGAGCCACGTACTCTGGTAACCTTCACTTTGAGGGCTTTGAGGGGACACAACCTTCACCTGGGAAAAAAACAGAAGTCATCCTGGGCTTTGCCCCGGATGTTATTATCCTGACTATATCGGAACGTATGTTAATGAAGCAAATATAGGGAATAATATCTTTAGCTCTCAGCAAGACCGAGGATTCGCGTTTTCATAGCCTTTTTTACGTTAAAAAGAAGGTTTCTGTGGAATTTTCGCGAGAATTCAGAATAGAAATTCCCATTTAACCTTTCATTTGACCAAAATAGAGTTTCAGAAGTTTAGGAAAGCTATTGGAGTCAAATAAAAACGAGAAACTGCGCTTAAATCTTGTGCAGAGAGTTGCGCACGAAAACGCCGGTTTATCTCGTTAATGAGTGATTTTCAAAGCTTGGGACGTTGTCAGTTCTCCTCGTCGTGTCATGACGATCAGAATGATATATAATGTTGCAGGGTTTCGTTGAAACCCCGCGGAGATCTACTACCAGAGCCAAATGCCCCGTCGGCTCTGGTCTGTCTCCGCTGCTCGTCTGCGTCTCCGCGCGCTGCGCGCTACCTCGCTACCCCAAACGCGGGGCGCGGGGCATTTGGCTCTGGTACCCTTTTCTTCGATGTTTCGAAGCCAATTTCAGCAAGCTATATATCATTTTGAAGCTCTTGATCTCTATTTTCACGCTGACAACGTCCCAGAACCAAATTTTTTGGTTTGGTCGAGAAATCTGGCAAAAACCCTGTTTTCGAAAATCTCTTGTTTTTCTCCTAGTTTAACTATTTTCACGCGGTTTTTTCGTGCATTCTATAGGTCTTGCTTCTGTTCATAATGCAGACAACCACCCAGCCCTTACCTTTTCGATTATGGTGGAATTTTTTGCGAAAGATCGTAAAAAGTCCGTTTTTCTTTACCTTGTTCTGTTTCAGTGCTTTCGCATCGATTTTTTTCCAACTTGGGCGATTATGGCTCAGAACAATAAGCGCAACAATCCAGACAACGTCCCAGGAAACAGGAACGTCAGTGCGGGGGTAAAAATTTAAAGGACGCATCAAAAATCAAAACCCCGTGTTGCGAATTGCTGGTCCTGGAGCGAAAACTTGCTCTTTGAAAAGCCGCCAAATGAAAGATTTCAGACCTCTCTACAGCGTTTTTATCCGGTTTTCAGCAGTTCCTTTTGCTTTTTATATCTGTTTCACGTCATATTCTCTTCTCTGATCTTTTTTAAACAACGTTCACTATTTACGACGTCAGATGTTCAAACAACCTTCACTTTTGACGCCCTGTCTCTAGACTATCGAAGGTATGCATAGAATATAAAACTCCTGACATAACTTCAAAGAGAAAATAGTTAGGCTTAGACTTTAAATGCTCTGCGTCACTGTCGTTTAAGGTAGACGTGATTATAGATTACTATATCATCAATGTGGATTTACGACATTCATAAGC